CCCCTCCTCTTTCTCTCTCTTTCTCTCTCACTTCACTGCCCACAGCAGACAAAATTTCACGCTTTCAACACAAGAGGGCTGGAACGTTTGTTCACGGTGAACGCTACACTGGTTGGCCTAGTAGGCTATCACAGTGAACGTACACCGTGTGAGAATAGCCAAAAGGATCGCCTGCGCTATTGAGAATAGAGATTGCCAAAATTTTGGCTGTCGTTATTCTCACCCGCTGTGAAAATAAAAATATAATATTAAATTGTTACCCAGGGTGAGAATAATAATTAATATCCATTTTATTCTCACGTATCATCTGCTTTTGTTGCCTTTTTTTGTTTCAAAAGTTGCCATTAATGTTCAAGCTTTCGACTGTCTGTGACAACGTAGCAGAAGAAGGCGCGTGACGTGAATCAGACAGGTCACGTGACTATGTAAAATCGTGCGGTCTTGGTTTCGTAGGCTTGCCGACAAAAGAAAACACCGGTTGGGAATAGAAGGCAAAATTCTACTCATTCCCAACACTGGTTGGGAATAGACACATCGTTTGGACTTAGAAGACAGGCTGGTGGAAAGAATTAATTTAACGTTGACTGTTTACAGTCACAGTCGTTAGCCTTTGAGTATGAGTCAAATTAAGTCCTTTGTCTTTGACGTGAACTTTGACTTCGAAAATACCCCCAGCTGTGTTTGATGAATTAGCCCTGCCCCTTGCATCTCTACTACCTCTAGAACTTTGAATTAGTGAATTAGAAGTCTAATGATTTTTTAAAGAAAGGCAGACACTGGCTTGGTCTTTTTACACTTCACTACTTGTCTTTTAAATTTACTTTAATGTACTTGAAAGAAGCATGATAACTTTTGAACCAGTTGTCGTAGAAACAAAATTCAAAAAGTTCTATCAGCTTCAAAAGAGCTATCAAGTGGACCTATTTCCATGCACATTTGGAGACTTTCCATTTTTAATCAAAGTTTAAGTTTTTTAAAGAAGATTTATGGTCATGTTTATCAATGATAAGATCCAGTCAGCTGCAACACCCCTCCCCCTCCTTCCAACTCCAACAGAATATCATCCCAAAGCATTTCATACAAATCAGAGTATTATCATTTAATAATCAAACTTTTTATTCTTGATGTTTGTGTGCTAGAGGCTAGAACTAAAGTGTCCAGACTTAAAGGGTCTAAATAAATGTATGTTAAGGATCTCGTTTTCTTCAAGAATAATTTTATAGATCTTGTTTGTAGAATCTTGTTTGTGTTCCCCATGCTAGATCTAAGAGGTAGTCGACTGCTGGTTCTTCAGCCTGCAGTACAACTGATTTTTACGCCTATATATATGTGACTTTTTCCTCCTTCTTAGTAGGGCCCTTTGCCTTCAGGCAGCCACATTCTGACTTCGAAGGTACTTTAATATACTATTTATACTGCCTAGCGTATTTTTAGTTTTGATGGAGACTTTGAATTTTTTCGCGGGTGGTGGCCGAAGCCTACTCAAGTGTAGATTATTTGAAGACTTCCAAGGGATCTTTTTTAACATGCGCAACTTGCACAGTGGACTTCCGAGGTTTTTCGCCCTTATCCGAGAAGGTTAGAGGGAGATGATCTTGTCAACTTTGAGATCAGTTAGCAGGAGCCAAGAGTTGCTGTAGAAAGAGTCAGAAATTTAGAAGAGAGGAACCCAGCGGAGCGGGGGGGGTGTGTGGAGATGAAATAAAATGACTTCAATGATAGAACAAGGTGACTAGAGAACATGGAAAAGGAGGTGAAAGGAGACAATGTCAGAGGAGAAAATTTTTTCTGTTGCTGTCAGGTTTCGAGACTGGGACCTATTGAATATTCTTGTCTTCTTTTTGTTTCTTATGTTTTGTTGTATAGAAAAGGGTTGAAGTATTTAATAACAGTTCAAGTTAAATGCTAAGTTTTCGTTTTTCCTACCTGCACAGGGACGATGGCAGCGTCACATAAACTTAGTGCTGCAGGTTGAGTGACTGCCATTATAATAATGCTTGAAGGACTAGCAGCTTGGGTTTTGAACACATACGTGGGAGAGTATGTGGAGAACCTTAACACTGCACAACTGTCCATAGCGTTGCTTCAAGGTATGATTTATTTTCAGGATATGATGATTTTGGACGCTGTATAATTGTCTTAATTTTTGTAAGGATAAGGTCTAGATGACTTCTTTCCATGTGGCAGTCCATTTTTCCATTTTTAATGATATTTGGACAGTTGCAACAGTAAATAAATAATAAATAAATGACATTTATATTGCGCTCACCCCCGAATAAAGTACACAGGTTCTGAGTGCTTTACAGTACAGTACAACATACAACAGCAAATATTCATCTTATTGCAACAGTAGGCACTGTATCTTTCACAACAATGCAATGGTGCTTCTGTTTGGTTTACATTTTATGGTCTCTGAAGATGGTGCATGTGACTAATTAGGTCTATGCTTACAAGAAATTTTTGATGATAATTGTGTATGTATATATATATTTTTAATAAGGTGCTTTCATGAAAAAATGAGTTTTGAGAAGCTTTTTGTTATTGATCCGTTAGTGTGCCATCTTGTACTCGTCCATGCTCATTGTTTTTAAAAATTTGATTTTTCCTTGGCATTCACATGTTGTGTTTAAAAGAATTTGTGTCATGACACGATGGAATCAGGCGCTCGTCAATTTTCCAGCATGTGGAGTTATTGGTATCATCTGGAGGCTTTTTCATTTGCCTTGCTTTCTGTGAAAAAATTGCCCATCTATTTTGAATAGAAATTGAGATATTTGCCTTTGAAGAAAGCTGGGTAGCATGGTTTCAGCGGTAAAATTAGAGAGGAAATGGCCGCCAAAGTTTGGTAACTTCTATAGCTTGAGAATCCTTGAAAACTGACAATTTGCATATTTTGTTCCATTAATCAACGTTTTTTAGTAAAATTCACTCAAAAATGTATTTTTATACGGACTTACAAAATGTGATGAGCCGAAAAAGAAAAATTCCACGAAAATTGCCAAACTGGAGGAAAAATGCGTTTCTTCGATCTTATTATTTTGACGAGCGCCTGATTTCACCATGATGCCTCACATTTGCTTTAGTCTGTAATATTCAGTCAGATGTGTGGAAATTACGGCACCACTCTGAATATTGTGGACCAATAGAATATGTTTCGGTTCTCTGTTTTTATGCTTGATGGATTTAAGGTCCAGAACTGTTTACCTTGTATCATATCGTTCCATGAATAAATTGTTCCTTTCTCATGTCAGGTGCTGTGGAGTTGGAGAATTTGCCATTGAAGAAAGATGCCTTGAAAAGCCTTGATATCCCAGTGGAAGTCAAGTCAGGTTCGTTGTTTTAGTTTCTTTTCCTCACTCTGGTCTTTTTGAAACTAGTAATGCAGTTCAAAGCTGTTACCAAACTAAGTTTTGTTTTGTTTTTGTTTTTAATGTTGGTATTTTTGCACCCTCTTCAACACAATTTAGATCAACCTGCCGGGGCCAACCAGAACTGAGAGGGATACAACATCCCAGCAGAAAGACGAAGATACTGGATAATACATTTTTTACCCACTCAGGAATTGAACTAGGGTCTCTTGCTTGTGATTGTGAAGTGCCACTACCACACAGAAGCTGGTTGTTAACAATCATTGAACATTCTTTTAAAGTAAAAAGTGAGCAAATGTATTGTCTGCTTTTATGATAGCTCAGCCATTTCCAAATCTGATGATAATTATGTGGGACTGTGACAAGTAGAGAAATTTAATTCCAAAAGATTCCATTCCAGCTGTAAACTGCAGTGTAGGTCATACATTTCAGGAACTAACCATGTGTTACATTTTTATTATTTGCGATACCATGTGAGAGTTTTATTACGGTTGGATAACTTTCAATTTCCATGTTTCAGGCTTCATTGGGAAAATTACCCTGCACATTCCGTTACGTCGGCTGCGGAGTGAACCATGGGTCATCTCCATAGAGAAGCTCTACCTTGTGGCAGGCCCTTTGACCAACTTGCAAGTAAGGAGTGCCATAGTGACTGTGTCTACTGAAGCTTTAATTTAAAAAAGAGATGTTTCTGTTTCTGGGGAGATATATATATATATATATACTGACGATCATAAGAAAGGTACTAATTTTTGATTGCGTAAAAAACAACAACAGGGGTCAAATATTATTGCAGCTATTGGTAAAGTCAGACCTAAGCTTCATTAAAAAACAAAGAATAGATAAAAATGTGTCACGTCGTCTGGAAAAAGTGCCAATTTTCTGTTTTATAAAGTTGATGATATAAACTCGAAAGCCCTAAAATGTTATTTAATACACAATCAAAAAGTGATACTTTTCTTTTGATCGCCTGTATAATATATTTGAAAAATTTATTCTCTTCTTTTTTGCCCAAATGTGATGACTTACAGGCTGCTAACTCTGCTACTGTAAACTGCATTATCTTCAAACTGGGAGGAGAAGCCTCTGAACGCCGTTCTTTCATGATGCTTTTGGGGATAGTGAGGTGTTTCATGAATTGCATAGTTAAAGTCTTTTGAGTTATAGCTTGTTCACTTTGGTTTGACCGCAGTTTATGTATCTTTGTCAAGGCAGCCATGACTGACTACAGTCAGATGATATATGCAGCTGCAAAAATGACCAGTCCTCCTGTATTTATAAACAACATGTTTATGTATGCACCACTTGGAAGTGATATTGATTTATGGGACATATCACCAATGCACGACAGGGAAAGATCAGGATAATGTAGCTTTTTTGAGAGCATCTGAGCAAAGGAATGAATGGAGAACCATGATCACTGATGTGTTTCAGAGATCTGGCACTTGGTGATGATCACTGATGGATAAGCGGAAATATGTTTAGTATTCATGCTGGCACTGACCACACTTGAGTGTACAATGTTTTCAGGCCAACAGCAACATGAGATTGGGTGCGACTGATGGGCGGGGGGGGGGGGGGGGGGCTTTTTAATAACACTTGTTGCAAGTTTGACGTCTAATCAGATGCATATCGTTGATATAGGCAATTTACATTGGCTCTACATAATAAAGTTAGTAGAATGGCTCTCCTCCTCCATGACTTTGTTGTATTTCAATTTCTGAAATCCACATGTAAATTGAAGAGAATACCCTTTTTTAACCCATAACATTATTGCATTGAAAAGGGCTGATTGAAAGGTATCCCCTTGCTCTTAAACAGTTAAAGTAAAAAATAACTATGCAAATTCTCAAACAGATGAATAGACTAATGAACAGACTTTTCAACTCAAGGATAAATGACTTTTTTCCACAGTATGATGAGGAGAAGGAGAAGAAGAAGGAGCAAGAAGTGAAAAAGACCATGCTTGATGCCCTGGAGGAGAAGTGGAAGGTTTGAGTCTATGTTGGAGAGACTAGCATATCTTGTATTTAGACCTGCCAAGATTTTTCTTTTTTGTCAATGGAAGAACTCCAATCATAATATTTTGCTTGAAGTCCAATTTTTTTTCTTGAATTTAGTTTCTGTAGGTTGTATGCAACTTGTTGTACATGACGTGAAAGTATATAATATGTGAGGCATCATGGGGAAATAAGGCGTTCGTCAAAATAATGAAATCAAAGAAAAAGTCATTTTTCCTCCAGTTTGGCAATTTTTTGGGGAAATTTTCATTTTTTAGCTCAACACCTTTTATGTTCATATAGAAGTACTTTTCCAAGTGAATTTTACTGAAAAATGTTGATTAATGGCACAAAATAGATAATTTTTCAATTTTCAAGGACTCTCAAGTTATAGAAGTTGCCATACTTTGGTAGCCATTTTCTTACAAATTTTACCTAAGAAAACAGGTTACCCCCACCTCCTTCAAGTGCAAATATCTTGACTTCTATTCTAGACAGATGGGTATTTTTTTCACCGAAAGAAAGACAAATAAACAAGCTTTAGGATTTTACAAATAACTCCATATGACAAAAAATTGAAGAGCGCCTGATTCCATCGCATTGTGACACATACAGGTTTGTTTGGGTTTATTTCCATATATCTTCACGACTTATCGTAAATGACTTGAAAATACACATTTTTATTTGTATGTATTCATAGTATACACTTATATTTTCCATGTTCGGTTTGTATCATAATCTGCATCATCTACCCGAGTTCTGGAGATTCCGATCCCCTTAACTCTGATTCTGATTTTTAGGAAGGGTTCTGGTGAAAAAAAATTTTTAATGGAGGGGTTGGCAGGTCTGAATATTCTAAATGGAGTAACAATACGCTTGTTTGTTGGGTGATTAGCAGATCTCATATCCTCAGTGAAGTAAGTTTTCTTGTTTGTTAAGTGACTAGCATGCAGAATGCTCCCTGTGAAGTAAAACAACGCTTGTTTGCTGTGGTTGGAGGAAGTTTTAGTTCTGCTACTTCTGCTTTTTTAAAAGATTTATTGTGGTCCTGTTCTGTTCCCACTGAAATTTTTCCATATTTGCACCAACTTACTTTAAGCTACAGCTTAGTTTGTCAACTTCTGTTTACTGTTGGCATTATAGAGATGGTAATCTTATTCTGTTGGTGTGTACTGCGAAGAGTAGCGGTATAATTTTAGTGGTGTCCTTCCTCCTTTATGTGCTGAAGTTTAGAGGTAAAATTAGCCATTGATAGGTAACGAATTCAATGATTTCCTAGTTCTCCTTACTTTTCTCCTCATGAAGAATTCTGATGTGAGAAAGCCGTAACGTGGTATTTTGCGGAGATTTTTTCCGATCTTACAATCGTACTTGTCTTGATGTTAGATGTGTTTTCGTTTCTGTTTTAACATTTTCAGTAGTAAAATTGCCCTGAGTGGTTTTTCCCTGCCCAAGTATATTTTGGAATTTTCAGGCTAAAAGGTGAATGCAAGGGCACACAAGTAAAAAGTGGCACTTTAGTCTTCAGCTTATCAGTTTCTTCTCTCTGAACTCTTTTTCACTGTTTGTCTACACTGATTATGCGCATAACCAAGCCTTCATTTACCAATACTTTCTTCCCTGTTCCTATCATCTGAGCAGGAATCTCTCTCAATTTCCCTTGCATAAATGTTGTCAGAATGAGCACTGTTCTCAATAAATTTTTCATCACCTCTCATTTGCATATCAAGCTCATTCAATACTTTTCAGCTGTGTCAGATCGTTTTGCCACAGTTCATACTATTTTAACCAACTGACCTATATTCAAATGAGCACTTAATTCTTTAACTTGAATATACCATTGTCTTGGAGTGTTCTGCAGAATCTTCTTGTGTCAGTAGCTGAGGATGAAATGTGAGCTTGGGAAATCCTTGTGTGTGGTACATATTATGTTAAGTGATTTATTTTTCTATTTTGTTCCTCAGATTTTTCAAGGTGTGCAGCAAGATGCCTCCTCCAGTTCATCGTGGTTTTCCTATGGGACCTCAATGGCTGCCAATGTCCTGGAAAACATTCAGGTCAGAGCTAAAGACACAATTTAGACCTATTGACTCATCTATTTAAAATAATTGCTCTCGTGTTCTTCTTCAACTCTGAATGAAAAGAGACATGTTCTGTGGAACAAAAATGACATAGTTCCACCATACTGTATATGTCAAAATGTCATAGGGTAGTGCTACTGTAGCTCTTTTGGTATCATGTTGGACTATGGTATGAATAATCCTAGTTTGAATCCACCATAGGGCAATCTTGAACTTGGGTTGTTTTGGAAAATGTTCAATGTTTTCCACCCTCTTGGCTTTATTGTGCCAGAGATGCAAGATAAGTTTGAGATGTCCTGCCTCTTGAAGACCTTTTTGTATTGGGGTCTGTTTCAAAATATCAGAAAAACATTTTATTATCTTTGGGAGGGAGTATTTTATCAGTTCTGTTCTCCTGCTTCAGTTTTCGTTAAGTTCTTAAAGAAAAATTTTCAAATGAAGGTTTGTTAGCCATGGTTTTAGCCTTTCTTTGGTTTAATTTCCTTTCTTTAAACATTCTATTCAACATTAAAAGTGTGTTTGTCATAAGGGCGTTAGGAATGATCAAATTTGAAAAAGGCTGTATTGATATATCTACAATGTAAATTTGAGACACAATATTTCTGGGAATATTTGATTTTAAAGATTGATAAATGTTTCAGCTAGAGTCTAAATTATACATGTATGTGTTGTGTTGTCTTATTACTGCATTGTGAATATCAAAGACATTTTGTATTGTCCTCTCACAGTTGAAAGTGAAAGGTGTGCACATCAGATATGAAGATGACAAGATGAATCCATCATGCCCCTTTGCCTGTGGCATTGTTATAAAGGATCTGAGTGTGCAAAGCACAGATTCCTCTTGGGTTAGTATTAAGTCTCATAATTGTTATATGATTTGTTGCTTTTGTTGATATTGTATTGTGTTAGATCCTGATATGAGCAGGATTTTTCCCCTTTTTCCCTTCTGTCTGATGCCTTAATTCAGTCCTTTCACAACTTTTAATTGTTATCAGCCAGTAATAATTTCGTGGATTTTCTTGAATTGGACCCCCCCCCCCCACCCAAATAAAAATATAAAAGTTTTACAAGTGTTAAGTTAAAAACAGTGCACACACTTTTTGGTAATGTGGGTTTTGTTTGTTTGTTAAAGTGGTGGTTGTTTCATTAAAATAAACACTCAAATTGATAAATAAGTTTTCTTATACTGAGACAAAAATATCTTGTAATCCTTCCAATTTGTCTTATGTACAGAGCCAGAAGTTTGTCAGTCACTACGAGGCAGATACCATGTTCAAACTGGTTGACCTACAGGAGTTTGGTGTCTACTGTGATGCCAATGTCACCATGTTAGGGGACCTACCACGGGCTGAGCTGGCAGTAAGTTTGCCTTAATAACGTCATTGTTGATATTGTTGTCCTAGTTGCTTTGATTTAGTTGTAAGATTTCTGTTGAAAATCTTGCGGAGGATTAAATAAGGTGTGTGCTCTTTTCCAATGTGTTGAAAAGAAAAGATGTGAGATGGTGCTTTCAGGAGAGACAGCTGTTGGAGTTATGAGTCTGACAAAGATTAGAAAGGGAAAGAGCTGCAGGATACAATTACTCTCATAGTGAAGAAGCAAACTAAATAAGTTACGGTTTCAATTATCTGTTTAAGATTTAAGAGTGTCTCATCATTTTTTTTATTCTGTCTCCTTTCAGGATGCACTTGAGAGACAAATGTATGTTTCTACTGCAGGGCAGTTCCAGGTATGTAACTTAAGTTAAAAATGTAGCAGTGAGACTGACTTTGGCATATTTGCATTCCTTCCCAATGATAGAATGGTCTTTGCGTATTGGTAAAAACTGTTATTTGTACCTTTGTCACACTTTATGATCAACAAGAACCACTGTTTGTTTTTTTCACATTCAACTTGAACAAATAAAAAATGAGACAGGAATTTTGTTTTTACATCTTGGATGTGCTTAGTTTTTTTGGGATTTAAAAAATCCATACCACACTGTACATAACCTGTTTAAAATTATCTTGTGGCTTGTTTGTCCCTAGGAGCACTCCTACATTCTGCAGCCGATCACAGCACAAGCCAAGGTTACACGCAAAACATCAGCCCTTCCCCTCCGCACGGCAGCCACGCCGCGGATCTCTGTGGAGCTGACCTTAGACGACATGACCTTTGGCCTGGCCACAGATCAGCTACAAAGTCTGACTTTCTGGCAGCGAGAGTTTTCCCGGCATGGAAGACGGAGGAAATTTCGGAGAGGACGACCGACTTGTTCTGTTGGTGAAAGGTAGCAAGAACACGTGGGGCAGTTAATAAAGTGGGCCAGGGTTTGGTACTTTTTACGTGACAGTGTGATTATGATGGTAATTACCAGACAAAGGCGGTGGCTGTAAGCACAAAAAATAATCAGGTGGCATGCACTCTTGTTTCATGGTCTTGTGTCTGCTTCATTGAAATTACTATACCTCATAACTGCATGACTAGAAGCTTGAGGAGCTGCATTTAGCAGACTCTCAGAATATGTGCCATGGTGTCTTTTTCGCATCTGCATAGTTTCTCATTCATTCTAAGGACAGATTATAAGAATGTAGTAATATGTGCTTCGCTTTCTCTTCTTCCAGTGCAAATCTGTAACAGAAATATGTGATCATGGCTCACCACTCATTTCTCTGCTCGGATGCTGTCAAAAAAACTTGTATTCTTCTAATCTTTTCCTGTCAATCGTCTGTTCAAGTTCTCTAATAAGTCATTTATGGTCTGCCTTTGCTTTTTTCCACTTCTGTTTTCTTCGAGCGTTTTTCTGCATTCTGAAAATCTATGGTGGGAACAAATATTGAGTAGGGTATCTGGTATGGACTTCTCTCCAATGTTGTTGATTATTCTGTAATTTTTCATTGTGGAATGCGGTTACCAAATGTTTCCGCTCTGTGAACTACATCTCAACAATAGCAGCTGAACAGTTGCCAGTTGGTTGTTGAAAGATGCTGCTGATAAGGTTCTGTCTCTTTTCTTTCTCCGCTGTTTCTATCTTGCTTTTTCCCAGCACTAAGTGATGTTAATTATGTTGATATGCTTTTTTTTACTCAAACACACAAATAAACAAGCTGAAGAGGGGTGGTAACTGATGGGTAAGCTATCTTGCTTTTATCAGTTTGTGAAGCTTTATCTAATCGGTTTGAAAATGTGCTTAGTGATAAGTTTGATCAATTCTGTGAGTTCACAAAGCTCAAACTTTAAGTTGGGAAAGATATAGAATTCATGTAATGAATGGCAGTCTCTTCTTATCTTTTTCTTGATACTGATCATGTGCCCATGTTTCTTTTACTTCATTTTGTTTTTTGGATTACTTCTTTTAAAAAGAAATTATCAGTCCACTAGCAATGGCTGCACAAGCGACAAGCTGTAACAGTTGGTGTTTTTCTCCCAGACCCAGAGACTGGTGGCGTTTTGCACAGTCTTCTCACCTGGCTGTCATACAGCAGAGGAATGAGCGACTCACCAAGGACTTCATGGTGCACCGAGTGCACACAGTGGTGGCATACTCTAAGCTCTACACCGACTACCTTCGTGGAGAGCAGCTCTCCCCGCAACAAAAGGTGTTTTTTTAATATTTTTTTTTTAATAGCATTTTTCTATCTGTTTATTTTGAAAAAGTTAATGATTTTTTATTGTGAAAAGAATATTTATCTCACGGTTGTTATGTGGTGTCCAAGAGAAATGGGGTTGCGTTTTTTACAAGTGATATGTTTGTAATATATATGATCTAGTCTACCTTAGACAAATTATATACATGACATTTTTGGTCAGTTTTAAGTCTTTACTATCCCACTATTTGTTTCTGTTTTTCTTGCTTTTTTATATTGGGATGGAGATTGACATTCTGTTGTTGCCAAGTCCAGTAGTACTAATTCGAACATATTTGTTTTGCTCAGACGGTAAAAACAAACATTGAGGAAGAGATGGATTTTGAAGAACTGAAGATCCTGAGAGAAGCTGTGTTTTACAAGGTCAAGCGAAGAGGTCAATTGGTAAGTAGACAGATATGTCACTGGGTGGCGAGGATTCACCTTTGTTTTTGTCAGAGAAGAGGAGTAATATGTCAGGAATCAGATTTCATATTATTGTTTACTGGTCTCAGAATTTTATCTATTGTTATCTTCAACATATGGTTCATTAATGGCAAGTTGTATACCTTTTCTAATCTTATTAACAAAAATTTAATGGTAATTGAATGTCTTACTCAGTACTTTTTATTATCAGTTTCCTTGTTTTATGCCTTACTGTGTACGTTTCAGTTTTTATTTTCTTATTCAATATCTTGCTGTGCATGTTTCGGTTTTTATTTTTTAAAATCAATATGTTACTGTGTATGTTTCAGTTATTTTCTACTTCAATATCTTACTATGTATGTTACAGTTGATTAAATACCTTACCGTGTACTTGTCAGTTAATTTAAGGCCTTACTGTATGCTTTTCACTTAATTCAAGGCTTTTTAATGTACTTCTCAGTCAATTTATTGTACTTTTCAGCTGATTTAATGCCTTACTGTGTACTTTCCAGATGATTCAATGTACTATTCTATTAATTACTTTATTACTGAATTACTGCATACTTTGACCGACAGGTGTCCCAGACAGTGTCCAGAAAAAGTCCCGTGCCAGTGTCTGAAACGCCAGTGGCGAGCCCATCAACCCCGGAGGACACAGCTGCTACAGGCACACTCTTCCAACGCTGGTTCCCAGGCTGGTCCGGATGGAGCCAGACGTCCAGCAGCTCTCAGTCCTCGGTCCAGCCCAGCGGAACAACAGCACTGGATAGTGGACAGATGTCTTCCTCATCTTCTTCCTCCACTCTGGTGCCATCAGATGAATTTCCAGAGGCGCCACTAAGTGGTTTGGAGTCGTCTTCGGCGCTGACTGAAGATGAGATTGGTAAGGGCTCCCGTGAAGTTGTGTGTGGGAATTGATTTGCATGGGTGAAAGTTTTCCGGCATATGCCGGAATTCCGGCTTTTGAAAATAAGTTTTCCAACTTTTCCGGTTTTGGACTAATTGTCAACTTCATAAAAATTTAGGAAGAAGTCATTCTCTCACTCCACAGTTTTTGGCTCTTTGCATTTGGTTTTGACCTGGCTGGTCTGTCTCAACTTGCCCCACTGGCCAAACTGAGAGCGTTGCACGCGCACGCCCAGAAACAACCCAATTAGATCTATGTCGCAGTAAACACTACGACCTCGATGTTATTGATCTGGCAAGTCTGCTCAGTGATTTGCCCAGGTTTAGCCGTTCTTTGCAAATTGTGGCTGGTTTTGACATCTTTGGCTCTTGTTTGTGGGTCGTTTAGGGCAAGTATAAGCACGTCGAGGTCAAACTTGAAAAAATGTGATTTAGTCAAAAATAAGGAAATTAATTTTTTCATTAAATGTAGATAAAATTCTTGATTTATACAATTGGATTGAATAGTTTTCTTTTCAAGCCTCGTTTGCAAATTCAGAAAAAAATATCTGGGAATACAGATTCTAGGTTCTTCGTCACATGGGTCTGGGTCTAGCAGCCAGCGCGCAGTATGGCGCACATGCACATAGCTAGCAAAAGACGCGCTCATAGATGTAGCGAACAGAATTTGAGGTCCTGAATCTTCTCTTGAAGGCCTATACTATCTGTGTATTAAAACTCACACAAAGACTTGACAATTCGTACATAGCGAGGGAAAAAATCGGCGACCTCGAGGGTACATCTAATTACATGCAGGCCTATAGACGGCCTCAAATTTCGTTTTACCGATGTAGAGAGAAGAGAGAGAGAGAGAGAGACAGAGAGAGAGAGAGAGAGAGAGAGAGAGAGAGAGAGAGAGAGAGAGAGAGAGAGAGAGAGAGAGTATGACCTCTCAGTAGGCCCAAGCTGGGGGGGGGGGGGCAATAGTGTAGTGTAGCCTTGGTGTAGGCCAAGGACGTGTATGTTTCATACGACACATGAGTGTTCAGCGGGAGACCTACATCTAGCTTGCTCACTTTAGTTGCGGTGTTGTCTAGTATTTAGGCAACCGGACCCGTAATCATGGGGTTGTGGGTTTGGGGGTTCGCGGCTTAGCTCGGTCCGACGTTGTGTCCTTGGGAAAGGCATTTTACACGAATTTTCCACTTGGCTCGGCCTTTTCGGAGATGGACATTACATTCGAGGTTCCGCCTCTTGAAAAACCCTTATAGTGTTCATAGGGGTGATAAACCTTTATCATTTCACATTTCACTTCAGTTGAGACACGCAAGCGAAGAGTCTGCTTGTGAAGGCATGTAGCCGGTAGGGCCCTATTGTCGCCACGTGTGTCAGCGCGTTTTCTCTTTAACAGAGATTACGCACTGTGCAGCAGCTTGCTGACGTTCTGCACTACTGATAAAGTAAAGAACAGTGGAACAAGCAGTGTTTCATTGATTTCAAAAGGTTCAGGCTATAGCTATCTCTATGTCAAGCCAAATTATTTCAGTTAAGACTAAGGACTATAGCATTAAAATTTAGAAATGAAATTGCCATGAGTTCACCTTGCACGTGGGTTTGGCATAAGGGAGCATAATTCATGTAAATTTTGACCTGATTGTCCAACCTGGTTATCTTCCTTGGTGCAGCCTAGAATTTGTTCTTTGCAAAATTCGTACATAACGAAAAGATTTCTGTGTCCAGTGGATTTCACCATCAAACGCCACTTCCCAACCTACAGCCCCGAAACAATGTGTGTACAAGTGCCAGGCACCGTTGCTGAACTCTTATTTCGCAAGAAGCCAAAGTTGTAGTTCAAAAAGTACAAATCTGGACTGTAACAGTGACATGGCACTTTGAAAAAGAAATGTGTGTCTCATTGGGGATTGTGATAAGACTCTTTTTAGTGTTAGTTAATACATCTGTGAAAAAATTAACATCTAGTAATAACACATTGCTGTTTTGCGGACCCAGAACCTGATTAGATGGATTTTTGTCAAAGGAATGCATTGATGAAAGTACATGTACTCAGACCTGCCACTCATCCCGATTTAGTCGGGATATGCCGATTTTTTGCCCCAAATCTCAAGCTTCCCGATTTTCCCGATTTCGATTGCGTGTATCCCGATTTTTTGTCCCAGTCTGCTGTTGTGCCGGATTTTTCTAAAAACTTACTCTGTCTTCTCCTTTATCGTGGGAAGCACCCGTTGAACTTTTTGTCAGTAGGAACTCGGAGCTCTATTTCCTGAAATATCGATGCCGCATTTAGTAGTTGACTCGCCCCGAGTTGTGTGTGATCTTTGACCCGCGCTCAGAATTCTCCAATGAAAGCCTGGTAACTGTTACAATTTGGGACATACAAATAATCGATAATATTCGTAGTACCGCTGTTACTTTCAAAACAAGCCTTGTCCGAGGTCTGGTAACTGCGCGTTCACATCAAACACTCAGACGAGCGACAGTCTTTCTAACCCTTACACAACTACATGTGACTGCGCTGACAAGACTAACATACGGCCGTTGGCGTTGCTTTAGCCTGAACGCATTATGAGGGATAAGAGATTTGTTGGTACATTTTGTCGGTCGGCCACTGTCGTTATTCTAGAAGTAGACCGGCTGTCGCTCATCTGAGTGTTTTGTGTGAACATGCAGTTAGTCGGACCCGTCAGTAAAATTGTTTCTCTCTCTCTCTCTCTCTCTCTCTCTCTCTCTCTCTCTCTCTCTCTCTCTCTCTCTCTCTCTCTCTCTCTTTTTTTTTTCTCTCTCTCTCTCTCTCTCTCTCTCTCTCTTTTTTTTTCCTTCTTTCTCTCTCTCTCTCTCTCTCTCTCTCTCTCTCTCTCTCTCTCTCTCTCTCTCTTTCTCTCTCTCTCTCTTTCTCTCCCCCCACCACCTTTCCTTCCCCTTTCTCTCTCTGTCCTTGTCTCTCTGTGTTACTCTCTCTCTCTCTTTCTCTCTCCCCCCCCCCCCCCACTCTCAAAAAAAGAAATATCCCTTTTGAAAGAACATAAAAAAATTACCCGGTCGCACACACACACACACACACACACACAGGCAGACACACAGACTTACATATACACACACACACACACAGACACAGACACACGCATCCTCAGAACATACACACAGGATTTTATTAAGAAAATAGAAAAAATTGATGAGAGTTTGCGTTTAGAGAAAAAAAAAATTAAAATTGCTAATTTCATACTGTTTTGTTTTACCTTTTCTATTCTCCCTGAGAATTTATGTTTACAGTAAGTGTAAGTCTTTAAGTTTATTGGGGATTTTTCACCAGAACAAGAGATACAGGATGTAATCAAAGACTCATCAGAGAACAGCTCTTTCCTGCGTAAGGACACTGTGTTTGCTCGGATGGCTTTTGTCTTGAAGAAGGGATCCTTCTGTCTTCTGGAGAGTGGCAACTGTAACACTGCCAATAGTAAGTTTCTTGTTTGTCTGTTCGTTTGTCTCTTTGTCAGTCGTTGCTACTTTTTCTGCTTTTCCCACTCACGCTCTCTTTTCTCTTTCTTTTTTATTTTGTCTCTTCTTCACTCTCACCCCCCCCCCCCCCCCCCGCCCCCCACCCACCACTTGTGTTTCTCCTACTTACACAAACTATTCATATTCCTAAATATTTACCTAAAATATAATCGGGTTTATTGGCCAAGCAAGTGAGTTTTTCAGCAAATTAAAGAAAATTATCTTCTGAACAGCTGTCCTTTATGTGTGGATTATATGTGTTAGCTCTTGGCTTGACATAATTCTACTGCTAGTGAATCTCTGCTTTTCCCACCGGGAAATGAAGCTGTGAGCCTTTAGTTACCTCATCAGGTAGTTGTATGCTAGTGTGAAGTGCGCTAGTGACTGAGAATGTGTTCTTCTAGCTCTGTGTCCTTTATGAGATAGGTTTAAATGTGAAAGCTTACCACTGGAGAAACATTAACTTCATGTCAAAATGTTTTTGAAGAAAAAACCCACCTCTAAACAGTGTGATGATGAAATTTTGTCTTTTCCTTTTCTTCCCAGGTGTTTTAAAACATTCCCCCTTGGTGGAGCTGTCTTGCTCACACATAGGCATGGAGTTCGAGTCCAGGCCACGAACCAGTGCCATGAAGTTCTCATTGGCTGTCGACAGTTTGCTAGTGCAGGATCGGACAGCGAAGAACCCAGTGCTAAGTTCTGTGATCTGTCCTCAAACCAAGGTGAGGAAAGTGATGAGATGAACTGTAGGAAACTATTCTATGTTTTAGCAGGGAAAAGGATTTTGTGTAAAAAAGCAGGTTTTGCTCATTTACATAAAAAGTAATTTTTCCCATGTAAGAGACATGAAAAAGCAATTTGCCTGTTATTGCTTGAAAAGTGTAAGAACTACTTGTTTTACAATACATATAATATTTTTAAAATTGGAATTTAAGATAGCCATCAAATTGTTGTCTCAGGTGAATCTTCATGAGTTATTTTTCATTAGTCCTGATGATTATGTACTAACTTGGAACAAAATCCATTAATAAAACTTTACATAATCCCCCCAAAAAACAGGAAGTTGAGATTTCCTCCCTCCACTGCCTTCTTTAGAGAAACGGATGTTGTCGCTTTTTCATCAAACTAAGTTACAGCTTTTCATGTTTGGTCCTCGATCATTTCTTTCCTTTTGTTGTTTTTGTCTATCCATGTTACTTTTCCTGTGCTCTTAATGACCATTATTGGGTTGATGTGCTTCTCTTTACTCATAATAACCTCTCACCTTTATCGTTGTCATGTGTTTCAGGATCCGCAGAGCCGCATGGCTTTTAACCCAGTCTCTCACCACCCGCCTAGTGCTCACTCCACAGAGCACCTTGGTGTCGGAGCAGACAAGTCAGAATTTTTTAGACTGGTCTACGAGAAAAATCCAGGGGGAACTTTCAAGTACAGGTGAGGATTTGTTTTGAGTTTGAGAGCAGAAGCTGGTGGGATGGTGGAAGTTGATGGAAGCCTTGTTTGTTTGTACAAGGAAATATTTGAGGAATGTTTAAGTTTTCTATGACAAAGACCATCAAGAATATTTGTGCTCAGGTAGCGTATGTACAATCAACATGTGCAACATGAGAATTGTAGGAGGAATATTTTTTCCTAAGAATGTTACTCAAGTGAACATTTTTGTCACGACACAGTGGAATCAGGTGCTCGTCAATTTTTGGGCATATGGAGTTATTGGAATCATCTTAAAGCCTGTTCATTTGCCTTGCTTTTGGTGATAAAATTATCCATCTATCTTGAATAGTCATTGAGATATTTGTGATTGATGGAAGAGGAGATCACCCGGTTTCAGAGGTAAAATTAAGAGAAAATGGCTGCCAAAGTTTGGTAACTTAAATAGCTTGAGAGTCCTTGAAAACTGAAAAATTACATAAAAATAAAAAATAAAAAATAATAATGATAAATTACACTTTTATTTGTCCCCAAAGGGGTCTTTGTTTTACAATGGCAAACATACATACATAAATGCATAATTATAAATACATACACACCTAAATACATACATGCATAAATACATACGTAAATACACACTATTACGCAAATACAGAACAGTTTACAACAATGCCACTGTCAGTGGCCACTGTGCAGCACCCTGTATTTTGAGCTAGGGTTGTCGTGTCTTGCTCAAGGACACACTCCAGTCAGTGACCACCCATCTGATCTGCGTTTCACCGACACTTGCTTGACATTTCTTGAGCCCCCATATTTTGTACCTTCAACCGTTTTTCAGTAAAATTCGCACGCAATTTTGTTTTTAAATTGGCATTAATTTAATGTGTTGAGCCAAAAAAAGAAAATTTGCAAAAAATTGTCCAACAGCCAGAAAAATGCCAGTTTCTTTGGTTTAATTATTTTGACAAGCGCCTGATTTCGCCACGGTGCCTCCAATTTGCTGTTCAGCTAAAGGAAAGTTTCAAGGTCACGTGTAAGAGTCGCTGTTTTATTCCTTACTTTTTGGTTGAATGCATTTTTTAGGACAAATTTTATGGTCTACAATTGAGAGTGAATTTTGATTATGGTAAAAAAAAGCCCCTTTTTGTACTCTATGACACCCCAACAGCATTCTGATATTGTTATTATTTATTGTCGGTATTATTATTTTATAACTTTTTGGTTGTTATCATTATTATTATTTTTGTTATTATTATTATTATTATTATTATTATCATCATCATCATTATCATAGTCATCAGCATTGTTATAATTCTTATTATTATCATCATTACTACTTAAATGTTTCTTTTACCTGCCCAGTCTGAGCATCAGCACCCAGCCCTTGGACATCATCTATGCTCCTGAGCTTATTCACAAGGTCAAGGGCATGTTCACAATGCCAGACCCTGGGCCCCACCGTGCTGCCCTCTCAGGTAGGCAGCTGCTGTTGACAGTTCTGTCATGTCATATGTCACACTGAATTGTGGACAGGGAATAATAATCATCTGAGGAAGAAGGACCATTTCTTACAGGTGTTTTTACCCTTTGTCTACCTTAGGCTCAAAGGCTGCGTGACAGGGAGGAGGAGTGGGGGTGGTAGGGAGGAGAGGGGTGTAGAAGGGTGGGAGCGTTGAGGGTGGTGTGAGGAAAGGAAGAAAGTTGCGGGATGGAGAAGGGAAGGGAATATGTGGGCTAGCAATTATGATGCCTTTGTGTAAGTTGCAAAAGTGGTGTGTTCATACATATTGTCTTTGTTTCTTATAGTAGGAGTAGGACTAGTTTATGATAATGATATAGCATGCTTTCTCGTGGTACCACTTTGTAGGTTTTGGCGTAGTGGCTTCGATTGTGTGTTATGTTTTTTAAAATTCAGGTGCATTTCCTATTGTTGTTGTTTTTTTTGGGTTGGTTTTTTTTCCAATAATATGTGTCTCTTTTGTACTTAAATGACAAGTCTTTTTAAGTGTAACATACGTCACTGTTCTGATTTGAATTTTTTTTACATTAGACTAAGTTTTTGAGGAAGTTTGATTTCTCTACAATTCTTTCTTATACCTACAGTTTCCAGCGGACAGTTTGAAAAGTTTCGTAAACAGACACAGGAGGAACTGAGGAATACCCTGGACCAGTTGTTGGAGGTTTGTCATGGAGTTTTTGTATTTTTTTAATATAATTGTTTGTTTTGGTTTTTTTGTCAATATTATTTTCATCTGTATTCACATATTTAAGAACAAGATTAGTCTCTCAATATGAAACTTCTTTCAATTTGTAAGGGCACATGTGTGGCATTGTGGTGAAATCAGTTGCTTATCAAAATATTGAAATAAAAGAAACCAGCATTTTTCCACCCGGGGAGCTATTTTTATCAAAACATTTTGTTTTGGGCCTAACATCTTTAAGTCCATTTAAAAACAAATTCTTCTACTGGAAAACATTGATCAAAGGTAGTAAAAGTGTAAATTTGCAATTTCTATGAACACTACAGCTTTGGAAGTCATCAGACTTTTATGGCCATTTTCTTGCTTATTTTACCACTGACACCAGGTGACCCCCACATCCTTCAATCGCAAATATCTCGACTTCTGTTCAAGGTAGATGAATACTGACTGTAGCGTCTTTAGGCCATTCCCAAAGGGGGGACATTTCTCGTTCAAGCACAGTAGAATTGTAAATGGGCTGATTCATGTCACGCTCATAACTGTGCCTGATCTACAACAGGGAACTGCTGCTTTTTCTTTCTTAATCCTTACTATTGTCATTTTCCTCTACTTCTTTTGTATGTTTGTCACTCTCTTGTGACTTGCTATTTCCGGGGTGCCTTGATAGTTGAAGCAGACCTTGTGTTGTTGAAGCTAGAGAGGTGAACAGAATAAGTCTGATTCCCTGTAAAGACTTCTCTGTTGACACCCACCCCTTGGCGCTCATATGACCTTATGCAGTTGACCTTGTGCAGTAAAACCCTCTACTATAAAAACAAAGAAAAAAGGTAGATGAATTTTTTAAGATTATGAAAATAACTCTATATGCCAAAAAATTGAGAGCACCTGATCCCACTGCTTTGTGACCCATATCATATTGCACTCTTTGTCTGTGAGAGAGTAAGAAATTATGCTTTTTGGAGATCACTTTTCCTACGGTTTCTTGAATATAACTTGACACAGAATGGGTTCCCTACTTTTCTGTGCTGGAAATGAGATGCACTTGCCAATTTGTCTATAAGGTGTCTTAGTAAGGCTTTTATATATCTTTGTTCTAGTTGGAACTGATGGTATATTTGGTGCAGTAAGGAGGGTTAAAACTTCATTTATTGACAGCTAAGATGTGTTTTATTTTTAAAAAAATTTGCAATGATCAGCTCAAACCAGCCACGTTTGAAGTATTAGAAAAACTGTTCTGCTGTGCAAAAGGAATGTGCTTACAAAGCTCTCTAATTTCACAGTTCATAGTATTTGGAAGACAGATGGAGACTGCCTTGTCTTGGTTTAGTTTTAGTAATGAGAAGCATATTGTCATAACAATAATTTATGTTGGGGAAAAAGCAAGACAAACTGACAAGGGATTGTTTTTGTTTCTGTCTCCTGTGCAATATTCTTTGACTTTACAACTGTATTTTTGCTCTGTGAAAGCGTAAGAAAATATACCTCTTTTTTACTTGACCGCTCTGCCTGCTATTTTATGAATATGTCTTGACACAGAATGGGATTCATAATTTCCGCAGGGCAAAGCAAGTAGATGGAACATTAACATGGACATCAGCGCTCCCAAGCTCATCATCTCCGACAGCTCAGAGGATCCGAACCCTCAGCTGGTCATCATCGACCTGGGAAACTTCCACTGCAACACCATCTCCTCCAGCAAAGTTGCTGAGGCAAAGAAGAACAAGGAGGAGGACGGGGAAGGTATTCCTTTATTCCTTCATCTCATGCCTTTCTCTCAACTGTTGAATAGGTGCTCAGGTTTGGTCTACATCTTATTCTATTCCTAGTACTGCTATTGTCTTAATCTGTTGTTGAGAATTGGGAAAATTTTGTGCTAATCTGCTGAAAAATGCTGGCTCAATAACTAAATTTCCTTAACTATTGAACTATTTGAGTAACAGTGTACATTGTTGCTTTGCATTTAAGGATTTAAAAAACTCATGCTGTCGGAATTGTTTGCTTTTGTAATTTTTAGTTTAAGTTGTAAAATAAATGTTTATAAACTTTTATCAGATTTATTTGTCGATTTTATCAAATTATTTAACAACTAGCTGCTCATGTACCTTCAGCACAACAACATACAGCTTATAGCTTAAATCATCATATACTGGTTTCGACTGCCACTCAGTCGCGAGTAATTGATGACAGTCTTTCTGTCTTCAGAATGTATTATTATCTACTAAATAAAAGTGAGCAAATAAATTCCACTTTATTGATCCCCTTGGGAAATTTTTGTTACAATGGCGTACATAAACACACAAATACATTAATACATAAATTCATAAATAATATACAATATCACAAACATAGACAATCCACATACCATTGCTAGTGGCCACTGGGGGCCAGGGTTTTGAGGTAGGGATATTGTGTTTTGCTCAAAGACACCCAATTGACCGCCCTCCTAAACACAGTGTCAATGACACACAATTGGCATTGTGAGAGTCTTGAGTTCACCAACCAGATTTGAACCTATACTGAAGAGCGGATTCTCACATTTTCTAAAAGTGGACTTGGAAAGCAATGACTCGATTCAGGAGTATTATATAACTATAACATATGTTGTATAATGTTATAAATTTTTAGTTTCAAAATCATGAAAACCCAGCTCCATCATCCTCGTAGGAATATTGAATTTTTACCTTTGTTGAAATTTTGAGGTCTGAAAAATGTGTGGTTTCTTTTAAAAAGTGATGCAAAGATTAGGCCACCGGAACTATGTAATATGTTGATGAAGAACATTGGTCCATCCTCAGAAAAATTTGAAACTCCTTTGTCTACACCCCCTAACGAGACAGAAGAGGATGAGGAAGTGAAGAAAGTCCTGGCTGACCTCCCCAGCTCACAGTATGGCACTTCCAGGAGGTCAGCTGAGGGCAGAGACGCCAACAGTTTATTCCATGACAGGCTCTATGAGAAGTAAGTTGTCCGTGTTGTGTCTTGTTGTACGTACCCAGTCAGTTTAGTCTAAACACTGATCATAAAAATTTTTGTTTATTGTTATCAAAGATAGTACAAGACAAGATGGGCCACTCAGCCTAAAAAGTGTCCGCAGGAAGTATGCTCTTTGCTTCAGATGGCGCTGCAGTCTGTTTTGAAGCTCTCTTTCGTTTTTCCAGAAGAAGAATAGAAATAGCACCCCCTTGCGTGCGCAGATCGACTGCTGTTCATCAGCGGTTCGGGTACGTTCAGTGCGGAGTCTTAGGTTTTTTAAATTTTAATGACCTCTCGCCCTTCATTCTAAAGTCAAATTAAACGAAGAAAACCATCTCCTTTTCCTCCGGAAGAGGTTTTTTGTCAGCGTAATCATTTTTAAAAAGCGTTCTTCCGAAATGTATCCCAAAACTTGCTAGTTTCACTTTGATTTTAAAAAACTCAAGTAGGGTAACTCTGTTCGCAAAGAGTGCGCTTTTGTGAAGAGGGCGCCATCTTGTTATGTACTATCATTGTTGTTATGCCCCCATTGACACAAGTTATATCTTTTGGGATACTTCCATCCTGCATGTCGAGATCAATTTGGGTTGAGTGGGCACATGGTCTGAAGTACTTGATAATGAATTTCCACATTCTAGAATTAATTAACTCTGCTGTGTGCAGTGGCGAGGAGCCCAACAGCTACTCCACAGTCGCCAGCATGCAGGAATCACAATTTGAAACAATCTTCAAATTGAAGAAAGAATTCAAGTTTTTTTGGTATGATTTAGGCCATAATGTGATGCCTCCTTTAGTGATGAGGGAATGATGAGTAGTTTGTGAATAAAAAAATAATTTTCTACATAATGTAGATCTTAAGTAATAAAGGTCTGTTGTCTAAAGAGCACATTACTACAAGAATTTTTTTTATTCATTTGTACTAAGTTCAGGTATTTGGTTTTCAGTAAATGTTTCGGACCACACGAAAATGTTTCAGTATTTACTCTGTAGAGTTGGCTGGTGACAGGTGAACACTTCACTTTGATATGGGCTATTCCTTTTACTTCTTTTTAGTATTACTATTATTATACTTTGGTTTTCGTGAAATGAGGGATAGTGCGCTTAGGCTGCAAGCTGTAAACTGACAACAGCTTCTATGTACATTGCTTTTGTTTGAGTTCTGTTCTGCACATAAACTTCAAATAATGATTTTGTCTTGTTTGAAAAGTATTCTTTCCCACAGTCTTTGGGGAAGTAACTTTGGGATTTGGTAATTTTGCCTTTTACAAAAGTATTCTCAGTACAACTGTAATAAAGTAAGGTGTGCTTTTATTCACTTATATGTGCTCTCCAGGTACAGGATTTCTTAATGACAGTTTTTTTTTCAGAAGTGAATTTGTAGTTTTGTTTTGTCTTGTACAAAAGTATTTTCAGCCCCCCCCCCCGGACAAATAACACAAAACATGTTTTCATCCACCAATGTGTGTCTTCCAGGTACAGGATTGGCTTGTCTGAGACACAAGTTCTCATTGGCCGTCTCCATGACAACTGGCGTCATGCATACTCCAGGGGCACCAGTCTCATGCACATTGTGGACCGCTTCAACATCTCCATACAACTGGAGAGGTGAGCACTTCTGCCGAGGCATTGTTAACCTGTTTGAAATTTTAATTCCGGCCAGCTTTCAAAACCTTACTTTGTAGTGTATGGCACTTGTGAAGTATACACAACTATGATGTGAATTCGTTTTCAGTAAATTACCATGACAGAAAAAAAGAGGTTTAAAAGCCAATCTTGTTGTGTTATTTGCTGTTTTTAATACAAGCCTCATCTTAGCAGCCCAGTTTTTTTGTTTTTTTTGCTGGCAGTATCAGCATGAATCTATTGTTGTTTTAAAAAAATTGCTTTTTGTCTCCTTTGAACAGCATGTTGTGGCACTTGCTTACATACTGTCAGTTCTGATACAGGCCGGTGTTTAAAGAAAATACTGCCTCATTTATACCATTTAAGGACATTTCATGGACATTTTATTCACTTTGGGTTTTTGTTTGTGCTGCATGAAAACTGACTAAAATTCTCCATACATTCACTGTTTTGTTTGTGCTTCAGTAACACTCCATCCTTTCACTGTTTCAGGCGGCTTGTGCCTACCTCTGATGCCCAATGGCCAACAGCGAAAGTCTTTGGGAACCTTCCGTCTTTGACATTTCATCTCAACGAGAGGAAGGTGAGCTGCAAAAAATGGATAGTTCAGACGTTTTTACTTTTCTTTTGGGGTTTTATTGAGTTAGTCATCGTATTCCTTGAGAAAAGGATGATATTTGATAGTCACTCTGATGTTTTGTCTATTTTCTTCCTTCCCTCAGCCTTCTTCTTCAATCTGATAACTGACAGAGGAAGATGCTATTTACACTCCTCCACCCCCCTTCCCCTCAGGTCCCAGACCATTGTCTAGATATATCTGGTTTAATATAAGGACTGCTTGATCATTTTACGTTCATTATATGTGAGGCGTCAAGGTGAAATCAAATGCTCGTCAAAATAATGAAATCAAAGAAATCAGCATTTTTTTGGCAGATGGGCAATTTTTTCCAAATTTTCTTTTTTTTTGGGCTCAACACCTATTATGTCCGTTTAAAAACACATTTTTGTGTGGATTTTACTGGAAAATCTTTGATTAAAGGCACAAAAAATGAAAATTTTCAGTTTCCAAGGACTCTAACTTTGGCTGCTATTTTCTCGCTAATTTTACCTCTGAAACCGGGGGACCCTGACCTCCTTAAATTGGAAATATCTCAACTTCTATTCAAGATAGATGGGTATTTTTTTCACCAACAGGAAGGCAAATGAACAGACTTTTGGATGGTACCAATAACCCCAAATGCCCAGAGATTAACGAACGCCTGCTCCCATGTCATGAGACATATTCCATCTCCAAGGGGAGGTTATAATGTGGTGCCTCTGTAAATGCTTATAGTTCCTCCCCTTGGAGATTCTCTGCACTGCTGTTCCTTCCAAAATATGTTGTAATGTCCCTTACCTCATTCCTTTCTCTTATATGCAGGTAGATAACTGTTAATGAGGCTGCTTCCCTTTACAGACTGCAATTAATATTGATGTTTATGAGTTTTTTAAAGTCACTTTTTTATCTCAGGGAAATTTGTTTTCATAGAAATATTTGCCTTGCACTGGCCATTTCAGTCACCCTGGTATGGCTGTGCTTTGATTGAAGTTTGAGTTTATCTTTCAAACATTCCAGTGTGTTATGAATGTGCCTGAGCTAGGAAAGGGGAACAAATCCAACACTGGTGGATATATAAAGAGGTTGAAGACAGGTTCAGGTGGAGGTCTGCTCAGCATCTGGCCTGTTGAGATCCCACCAGAACATCTTCTATGGGTTTTGTGTCAGTTCTACCTGTTGATTTAATGTGGTGAATGTAGATCTAAGAAAATAGACGGTGCTTGGGGGGGTCACCTTCATCAGATATGCCTCTTGCTGGTCTTTGACCTCTTTTTGTCTGAGGACAATATGTTCCTCACTCTCTTTCTCTACTTCTGTTGTCTTTCCTTCCTCTTTTTTCTCTTTCATTCTTTTGTTTGGTTGTTAGTTCTTAAAAGTTTGTGTAATTTTACACTTTCCTGTTTCTGTGCCAGCAGTTGGAGAGATGAGAAAGTTTTCTTTTTTTGCCATTAATGAAATCTAATATTTCATTGTCATTTTGGATTTTAATACAAAATATTTTTTAATGTGTTGTCCAATATGTGTTTAAATTCTGTTTGTTTTTTAATGTATTATTTGTAAATATTAGTCTGATGAAATGTTTCAGTGTCACTTTGTTTTTTTTAAGAGCAAGTCTCTTTTAGTAACATCATAACACTTGTTAAACCTGCAGTCTCCTGAAATGGGAGGAAGTATTTATTGAAAATTGTACTTCTAGTTGTTTTTTTTAACATGTATTTTTATGTAGAGTAATGCCCCTTTTATTAGGGATTCAGGGCTACTTTGGTGACAGAGCTGTGTGGTTTAAGAGGTTTAATTAGTCCATCTTGTGATGTTATTTTTGTTGTTGTTTATCCTGTGCGTTCAGATTCAAGCCCTGCAGAATTGCCTGGACCAGCTGTCAGCGGCCAAGCCCCCTAGCTCTGTGGAGACATCCAGTCTGTACCACTCCTCCTCCTTTGACAGCTCTGTAGCCCCTGTAGACCCAGAGCAGAGCAGCGGTCAGCTGTAAGTGGACATTTTTTAAAGGAAGATAAAAATAAACACCTCCTCACTGATATACTGCGTCTTTACAGCAGGGAAGTTTTATTTCGGTTACTGTTCCATTAAAACAAAAAAAATTTCTTGTGAGACTGTCTTTTATGTTGCAATATCCTGTGGGCCTATCTTTTATTCCAAAGGCCTACAACAAATTTCAAATTTTCGTTACGTTTATATTTCAAAGAAAATGAATCTTCAACTAAAATCTGATAATAACAAATAAATTTGGCTTATAAATCTATGTAAACAAACATCTGCTATAATATGATTGTGTAGTATTGTAATTTAATATATAAATCAAATATATATCTCGATGGTGTAATGTGTTGTGAAACTGGCTTCTTGAAAATTTTTCAACACACGAAAAGAACATTTTTATGATTTATTGAGAACCCAAAAATGGACCTTGGAAATGGTTACAGATCAAAATAGAGTCGACCTATTGCTTTCCCTTGCACGGTTGGAGGGCAACACCAATGATAAAAGATTGTGCTTTAGTTTTTATGTTGGTTTTTTTCCCTGTAAGAGTTTTACGGCGCTCGCAACGGCATAAGGTCATATGAGCATGGGTAAAGGATAATGCAAGGAAGAAACGTTTTGTTAGCAAAAAAAAAGAAAAACCAACAACGGTTTGGTTGGTTGGTTTATGTGTATCTGTATGAATCTGTTGTCCATCAGACCCAGCTCCCCTGTGAGCTCTCCGCGTGAAGGCAACGAGGACAACAAGCTGGTGGTGCTGCAGTTCCTCATCAACAGCCTATCTTTGGAGTTGCAGAGTCAAGGTGAGTGAGTCGCTCTTGGTTATTGAGTACAGGAAATGTAAGTCCTATTCCGAAAATGTGGAAGTGTTTTTATAAAGTATCTTTGTCTGCTGGGATGATGTATCCAATTCTGCCTGCCTAAATTGGCCCTGACTGGTAAAGGGTCTGAGCTGTCCTTCTCCTCCTTCCAAATAATCTAAATTGTAGCAATGGGGGGTGTAAAATGTCTGCAGTGTAAAATACATTTAAAAATTCCACCATGTCACACTGTCTATTTGGTACTGGGGCGTAAAATATCTACAGTGTAAAATAAATTTCTAAATTTCGCTATATCAGATTGTCCATCTGGTGTTCCCCAGGCCACGCCCTGGTTGAACTGCAAGTGACGGGCGTCCGAGCAGATGTACACACCAAGCCCCTGAACACGTCCGTGGCTCTCACCGTGCACAGTTTGCTCCTGGTGGATGCCTACCAGAGCTACGGTCAAGACTTTGAGCTGCTGGTTGCCTCGCACAAACACGTCATGTGAGTGTGTCCTTTTTGTTGTTCTTCTTCTTATCCCAGTTGTTTTGGGGCTAGAGCTACGACAGGTTTTCTTTCATGAAAAAATGCACTCTTTTATTCCTAGTTTTTTTTTTTAGGGGGGTGATGGAGTGTGTATTTGTGTGTGTGTGTGTGTGTGTGTGTGTGTGTGTGTGTGTGTGTGTCTGTGTAAGAGAGAGAGTGTGTGTGTGTTGGTGTAAGTTTTTGAGGAAGTTTGATTTCTCTACAATTCTTTCTTATACCTACAGTTTCCAGCGGACAGTTTGAAAAGTTTCGTAAACAGACACAGGAGGAACTGAGGAATACCCTGGACCAGTTGTTGGAGGTTTGTCATGGAGTTTTTGTATTTTTTTAATATAATTGTTTGTTTTGGTTTTTTTGTCAATATTATTTTCATCTGTATTCACATATTTAAGAACAAGATTAGTCTCTCAATATGAAACTTCTTTCAATTTGTAAGGGCACATGTGTGGCATTGTGGTGAAATCAGTTGCTTATCAAAATATTGAAATAAAAGAAACCAGCATTTTTCCACCCGGGGAGCTATTTTTATCAAAACATTTTGTTTTGGGCCTAACATCTTTAAGTCCATTTAAAAACAAATTCTTCTACTGGAAAACATTGATCAAAGGTAGTAAAAGTGTAAATTTGCAATTTCTATGAACACTACAGCTTTGGAAGTCATCAGACTTTTATGGCTATTTTCTTGCTTATTTTACCACTGACACCAGGGGACCCTGACCTCCTTAAATTGGAAATATCTCAACTTCTATTCAAGATAGATGAATACTGACTGTAGCGTCTTTAGGCCATTCCCAAAGGGGGGACATTTCTCGTTC